TAACCTAAATAAGTCCACATTTTGTAATAATGCGGTTTAGCATTTAACTTTCCCTAAAAAATGATAAAGTATGTATTAACTTCGTTATTAATATAATGTACGAGGGAATTATGTTTATTCACAATATATACATGTATTTACATTAAGGTAAAGAACAAATAGTAAGATATTTATAACTAAAAACCTTAAAAAAAAGACGGTTTGCACTACGGGAGTGCCGGCAGAAGTGAAAACTTGAATATTAACATTATGCACTTTTAATATTTTGAAATGGTTAGGTAATAATTTTACACTTATTGCTTTAATTATCAGTATAAAAGTACTATCATGTATGTGGTAGAATACATTATTTATTTATTGCGCTATCGTACACAAACATGACAATTTATATTACATTAAAAAAGTTTGTCTCTCAGAAAAATCAAATTACATGAATCACGTTTAAGCGCACTTAGCGACATCTATTGTAAAGAAATCAACTTACATGAATCACATTTAAGCGCACCTAGCGTCATATATTGTAAAAAAATGCATTTTCTTCGCAACTAAGCTGCCACGTGGACGTCCTACATAGAGACTTATTATTATAATACGGTAAAATAAAATATTACTATGTTTCGTCCAATATATTGAAAGTCAACAACCTTTCCAATTTAATTGTATGTCATGATGCGATCAGCCCACGTGTTTAACCTAATGCGAGTTTAACATTTTTTACCCATACAAAAAAAGGGTACAACGCCGCTAAAGAAGTTTTCACTTCAAAAAAACTAGGAGAAAAATAAAAAACAATAATAATCACCTTCTCCATAGCCTTAAATTAATAAAAGAAACCCTCCATCCAAAAAGCTGCAATTTTAAATACATGTCGCATTGTCAGAAAGTTTATGCAAATAGATGAAAACGAAATAGGTTGTCATCACAACACTTCTTTTACATAACACAACACATACTGCACTTATGGTTTCCACCCGTAAATGTAGTAAAAAAACCAAACAAAGAGTGAGAGCGAGAAGATAAAACACCCTACAAATAATAATAATATCTAGGGAAATTAGACCACATGACGACCTTGACGCATGACGCACGTAAAAAGGTTCTCATCACAACACTTCTTTTACATAACACAACACATACTGCACTTATGGTTTCCGCCCGTAAATGTAGTAAAAAAACCATACAAAGAGTGAGAGCGAGAAGATAAAACACCCTACAAATAATAATAATATCTAGGGAAATTAGACCACATGACATCCTTGACGCATGACGCACGTAAAAAGGTTCTCATCACAACACTTCTTTTACATAACACAACACATGCTGCACTTATGGTTTCCGCCCGTAAATGTAGTAAAAAAACCAAACAAAGAGTGAGAGCGAGAAGATAAAACACCCTACAAATAATAATAATATCTAGGGAAATTAGACCACATGACATCCTTGACGCATGACGCACGTAACAAATTAATTTTCTCTCCGACCTTTATCCTGTTCACAATTGCCGTTTGTTTATTCAACCATGTTTAACGTAAATTATATCAAGTGTCATGAAATGGCGACAATTAACTTTTCCCCTTATGAAAGTTTTCATCATCAGCCTATTAATGTCCCCACTGCTGGGGCACAGGCCTTCCCTATGGATGGAATAGGGAGTTTGGGCAATGACCCACCACGCGGGCCCGGTGCGGATTGGTGGGTGCTAACGACTGCAGATGCAGCCGGGACCAACGGCTTAACGTGCCTTCCGAAGCACGGAGGAATTCGAGATAGTGAATTTTTGGTCACCCATCCAATGACCGACCACTGCGAAAGTTGCTTAACTTCAACGATCGCAGCCGAACGAATTATTTTTTATTATTAATTTAATTATTAATAAAAGTTTTATTTACAGAAATTGAGATTTGAATATTAAAGGTTATTTAGATCACTTTTGTATAGTAGATGTTTTTTTTTTATGTTAAAAAGATGGCAAACAACCATATGGCCCGTTACATATTAAGCGACAACCATAGCCTATAGAAGATAGATATACTCTTTTTTACTCACAAAAACACAATTGATACAGAAGCTTGTGATACAAAAAGAAAAGTGGTGTCTCAAGACGCACGACAGAAGTGATAGCTTAAACTAATCTAATGTAAAAGATTAAATAAATCTAATTTAATGTGAGTAAAAAATAAAATTTTAAATATATATGAAAATATATATCTATATACATGTATATAATATAAATATATATATAATCTAAGCGGCGCTGCTGTTAGAATGAGAGTGAAGGAGCCTACCTACCGCTGCCGTATGCGTGGGAGGATGGGAAGTTAGACAGACTGGCTCCGTAACGCGTTACGTAACGAAGCGGTATACCCTCCCACAAGAAGTTATCACTTACCCTCTTAAATCTCATATTACGTGAAGAATAGATGGATGAAAAAATATAAAAAAATGTGTGCATGCACCGGACCACACATTTGAAGTGAAACTTCTTTTCTTAAATAACCTAACGTTAGGCAGTGCATACGGCGTAGGGGAATAGAGCAGCCTTCCCATCACTCCTATATATGTATATATATTGTGTCGCGTGACGCTCATAGCGTTTCAGCCTTTAGCGCACGCATCCCACACACGTATAGATATTGTCATATACAGGGCGACCCACGGCTACCTTACACGGAGGGAAAGTATATTAAATATTGAAGATAGGATATTTTACTGAAAGAAGACATCGTTTTATTTTTAATATTAATTAGAACTGCATTCACAGATTTTTTAAAAATCGCCTGCTACAACTGTGATTCAAACTCGTGAAATTTCGAAAAAAAACGACATATTTTAAGATAACAGGATATATACAGGATATAGTGTGACGCTCGTGACACATTTCCGTTCAATCGTTTCCATTTTCACCCCGTCCGAAAAGAACTTCCACTTCAAAAAACAAGCTATCGACTCTGCTGTTAATATAACAACGCATCTCTCAACTGTGCATGGATATACAAGGAAGTGCACACGGTTCTGGTATGCCCATTATTTATAGAACATTGCAGCTTTTATAGATAGACTGACTGACTGCCCGCCTCTGACTTCATCTAGATGGCATCTTTAAATCTATATTTGTAGAAGCAGGACAAAACTTGCACTACAGTACCGTTCCAGATATTGCAATCCACGAAGACGAGCCCCACTATTCCTCCTAACCGTTTATAGTAAATGTGTGCCAGCTTCCGTCAATATTTCAGTTTTATCGGTACACACTAATTATCTATGATAATAGTAAATAATAATATAATATTATGATAATTATCTATACTAATATTATAAAGCTGCAGAGTTTGTTTGTTTGAACGCGCTAATCTCTGGAACTACTGGTCTGATTTCAATGATTCTTTCAGTGTTCGGTAGTCCATTTATCGAGGAAGGCTATAGGCTATATTTTTTTCAAAATTAGGGATCCGTAATAAAATTGCTATTTTGTAACACAAGGTGTAAAATCGAAAACCTATTTTTGCGTGCGCTGCAAAAACTATTGACAATAGAACAAAATAATGTACTACGGGTTTGTAGATCCTATTAAGACCTACAAAAATAGTCCGCAAGAACATATATCTAGCTATCATGGTTTAATCACAAGAACCGATTTTGTGTTCAAAATAATTATTTAATCGTCCCCCCCCCCCCCCCCCGAAGTGTTTCAAATAGGGGTTTTAGGTTTTAATGAAAGGTTGTATGAAAAATCTTATTCCTTGGGTAAACTAAGAGACTTAAAACTTGACTCAAATACAAACCGTAAACAGACTGAGAAAAATCTGGATAAACAATAGGCTACTTAAAATGACTAATTCCACGCGTACGAAGTCGCGGGCAACAGCTAGTCTAATTATCTTTTTATCACTAATTATCCTTCAACCAAATATTGGTGGGGCGCATCTTCGTGGATTGCACTATCTGTACATACGAGATGTCCACTTATTAGTTCACTAGAGGTGCCCTGCGGTTATACCCGCGTTTTAGGAAAAAGGTTTTAGTGGGTCACATTTAAAGGTCCATCTTTTTTGTGTGACCCACTAAAACCTTTTTCCCTTCTTTAAAGGATTTTTAAAGGGGAATAATTCCGTTTAGAAAAGGTTTTATTGGGTCACACTTAAAAGATAGACATATGGTGTCACGAATTTTATTAAAGAACTTTTAAAGGGCAATAATTCCGTTATACATGAATTTTGTGTAACTTCACCCGGTTACGCAGCGAACACAATGGAAGCTCTCAAATGGATTTTTTTCCAGCTTTTGCAACATTTTTCATCAATGCCCCGCTCCTATTGGTTGTAGCGTGATCTTATATAGCTTTCCTCGATAAATGGACTATCTGACGCAATTTCTTTTTCAAATTCACTGGTAGTTCCTTAGATTAGCTCGTTCAACCAAACAAACAAAGTCTGTACTTTATAGTTCAGTTTAAATTGTTAGTATAGATTACAAAGCAAATATTGTTGATAACTAAATAAAACAATATTTACAGTAAAACACCTCATGCAAAAAACAAGATTAGTGCCTAACTAAGACATAAACAAAAAACGTGTGGCACTCGGGGACTGCCGCGGTAAAGCTATTGCATAGCATTATTTATCAACTTATGCAATTATAATTATTTATTTATTTTATTTATGCAGTTTTTTTTCTTTGGTTTTAATACATGGCGAGGCAGGCCTTATGATATATTATTGGCCAAGCACAGTAAACAACAGCATTGCCCGGCGCCAAAAAACTTCCACAAGCTCCACAGTTTACCATCCTTAGTCCAATAATTTAAATTATAATGCGGTGATGCGTCGATTGTTGGTCCCGTGGCTAAAATTTAACACACTGCGCCGTTTCGATCGATATTACAGGTTATTTTCGTTTCGGAATTTCTTGATTCGGTCGCCGCGCTCAAAACCCACGATAAAATCTATGCAATAGCTTAAAAAAAAACTTGTTATGTGTTCTAATTGTTTTTGTCTTGACAGGTGGCCCAAAATGGACTGGAAGTGCTAGCAGCACTGGCGGAGCGCATGGGACCAGAGTTCTCACATTACGTGCCAACTGTTCTGCCACACATCATCGACAGGTTAGTTACTCCATCTCTTTCATCATCAGCATCACCAGCCTATTAATTTCCCCACTGCAAGGGCACGGCCGTGACCCATCGTCATGCGGACCCAGTGCGGATTTTTCAGTGCTAACGGCTGTAGATACAGCAGGGACCAACGTGCCTTCTGAAGCACGACAGCGCAGCGCTCGAAATAAAATAAGTTTTTAGACACACCTTTGAAAAAGTTGCTTAACTTTTACGATCGCAGGCCGAATGCTACTCGTATCTGCGCAATCGAGCTCCTCCATGCCTGCATCCCTTTCTGCCCACCCTCAATTTCTTAAGACGATCTTCTTCGCGGAGACTAGGCTGGTCTTCCTTATAGTGGCAGTGGAGCCCAAGTGGAGGTTTTTGGACTTGAGCGTGGCAGAATAACATAAGGGGGGCCATACTTGAGCCCTCTATGTAGGGCCGAATGTCTAAGATAACAAAAAAAAAGAGCGAGCCTTACAGTAGTCGCGTATGCTGTGTAACATTTGAAACCTCACCTTATATTAGTAAAAAAAGAAATAAAACCTACTACAAAAGGAATAAGACATTTGAACGTTATGTTCTAAAATTAAATCAAATAGCGCGCGCTTTCTCGACTTCCTGTTACACACTTCCGTCCCATTTCACGAAATCACTCCCAGGAATTTTGCAGGAAAGCGAGAGGAAAAATGTTACACATCAAAAATTTCAATAGACGCTTATGACTTGGTTGCGTCCAAATCACGTTCACGTAACCTTCTTTAATGTCTGACACGCTCGAATATTTATTTTCCCTTTATTGTAATCCTTCGTACGACCACCAAACCATGCAAACCGGCAGATCAATATTTTTTCTGTCCTCAAAACCGTCACGTGAATCCTCCAGTAGCGTCTGTTCAAAAGACTAATGATTTGGAAGCGACCAAAAGTCGTAGCGTCTGTTTAAAAGACTGATGGTTTGGAAGCGACCAAAAGTCGTAGCGTCTGTTTAAAAGACTGATGGTTTGGAAGCGACCAAAAGTCGTAGCGTCTGTTTAAAAGACTGATGGTTTGGAAGCGACCAAAAGTCGTAGCGTCTGTTTAAAAGACTGATGGTTTGGAAGCGACCAAAAGTCGTAGCGTCTGTTTAAAAGACTGATGGTTTGGAAGCGACCAAAAGTCGTAGCGTCTGTTTAAAAGACTGATGGTTTGGAAGCGACCAAAAGTCGTAGCGTCTGTTTAAAAGACTGATGGTTTGGAAGCTACCAAAAGTCGTAGCGTCTGTTTAAAAGACTGATGGTTTGGAAGCGACCAAAAGTCGTAGCGTCTGTTTAAAAGACTGATGGTTTAGAAGCGACCAAAAGTCGTAGCGTCTGTTTAAAAGACTGATGATTTAGAAGCGATAAAAAGTCGTAGCTTCTGTTTAAAAGACTGATGATTTGGAAGCGACCAAAAGTCGTAGCGTCTGTTTAAAAGACCGGTGATTTGGAAGATACTCGTAGATGATACGGCTGAAGGCAGTGCCGTCTTTGACCTATTGGAGGCCCTGGGCATATTAGGATAATGGGCCCTATGACCCCCGTTTGGTGATCTAACAAGTATTAGGGACTTTGTATTTGTGATCTGAGGTGCCCACCTATCGATCACGGGGCCCTGGGCACTTGCCCAAAGTGTCCATTGAGAAAGACGGGTCTGGCTAAAGGTATGTCGCTCCAGTCATCCTCACCTAGCCGGCCTGAACCCAAGCCACTACCCCGCAGAGCCCTGGAATCCTACTGCTGGGGCGCAGGCCTTCCCTATGGATGGAATAGGGAGATTGGGCCATGACTCACCACGCGGGCCCAGTGCGGATTGGTGGGTGCTAACGACTATAGATGCAGCCGGGACCAACGGCTTTACGTGCCTTCCGAAGCACGGAGGAGCTCGAGATTGTAAAGTTTTGGTCACCCATCCAATGACCGACCACTGCGAAAGTTGCTGAACTTCAACGATCGCAGCCGAACGCGCTAACCACTTGCGCCATCGAGCTCTTCATATTTATACTTGCGTAGTTGAATTACGCAATTTATAGTTCAGGCTATTCTTATGTTCCTTAACAGACGGACCCAAGTCGGTTTTCCTGCTCGCGGGCATTGTTTCAAGGATGTTACGTCACAGGTCACAGCTCATCGGAGCGCACTAAGCTAATGAATCATATCACAATAAATCGTTATCCATTCATACGCTAACATATTAAGTATTGTCTCATTGTATCGAAGGTTGTAAAAATTTGCACTTTATTGCGTTGAAGTTAAAGATGTATTTCTATTGCAGTTGTGATTGTTACTTGTTGTAATATTGATGTCTGAGATTCATGACTACCTAATTGAAATTTCAACTACTTTGGCAACTTATTTGTCACAGTTTTTTATATCATTAAAGTTATTCTCCATTATCCCATCTTCTCCTTTCCTTTAAAGGAGCGCACCACACGCGCTGTTCACATTGCCACCGACTTTTTGTGACAGCGATTTCTACACGAACAATCTCTTTGTTGACTCATTTGTTTGTCGCACTATCCACAATTAGAATTCTTTGCCCGCGCTCGTATTGCAGTCCGGGGTTCTTTAAAAGAGGCGTGAAGAAGCATATGTGTAGGGCGGCAAGGTATGGATGCAGCTATCTTATCTTCGCGTCTGGACTTTACCACCACTTAACAACAGGTGGGGTAGTAGGTATTTGCCAACCTTACTATGATGCCTCGTCCAGATCTGCGCGATGAAGATTTAACATTTTATTTGCACTAAAGTTAGCGTCCAAATTTTCGGCACTGGGCGTAGATGCTCCTCAACTGCAACTTTGCACTCACAAAATTATCGTCCACCAAAACCCCTTTGACGTGTGTCGAAAAACCGCCAGTCAGGCCATAGCCTGACGCAGTGCACGCACCTACCTAATGGTGTTAGACCATAGTCTAACACCATTAGGTAGGTGCGTGCACTGCGTATTAACGCAGCTTGATAGTTTGTAACGATAGCCGCTAATGACTAGACCTACGTTTATCGCGATTACTTAGATGAAGCTTCGTGGCCGAGTGTTATGTACGCCGGGTTTCAAGGTATCGCCACTCAGAGATCCCAGGTTTAAATCCCGGTGGGGTTAGTATGATGAATACGATCATTATACCTTGTCATGGATGTATATATATATATATATATATTTCTGGATAAAATATACTTCCATGTGTGTTCTATCCGTTACCCTAGCATCCCATAACACAAGCTTTACAGTGCTTTGGGGTTAGGCTAATTGGTGAGAGTGTGGGAAATATTTATTTATTTTAAATATGTTTTTCCTTCCAGACTAGCAGATACGAAAGAATGCGTCCGCCATATGGCTCGATTTTGCCTCGCGGCTTTGGGAGAGAGTAGGGCGGCTCCCCCCCGAGCTTTGCTGGCTCGGCTGACCCCCGCACTACAGCACAAAGCACCACACACGAGAGAAGAGGCAGTGCGGTGTATACAAACCCTTTTGGACACGTGAGTAAACTATATCTTCCCTATGGATAGCATTAACTAAAGAAAGTGTTACGAAATTTGGCATTTGATTAGCTCTTATACTAATTTATGTTATTTACGGGATTTATTTGTTTTAAACTTTCATGGTCACTAACATTATAGTAATACAAGTTATTTACGGGATTGTTACCATGTACCTTGTTTTTAGCGTGTTGCCGATATTTCGGCACTGTTGCAAGCGCCATGATCACGGAGTAACTGAAGTAATTGCGGGTAGGCTGTTATTGGCAGACATATAGTTCCGGTTTTACACATACGAACCACAGGATTCCAGACACTCGACAATTTAAACCCGTCCTCACGATTGAATTTTTTTATGTTTTGTTATTTCAATCGCTTCCCTGACCAATCTTGGTATGTAGTGGATTTCTGTCGAGATAATCTGTGGGTTATGAAACTCAATTCAATGGTTAGGACCAGAATCAATCAAATGATTTCGGAGGGTAGATCGATATGTCTGCCAATAACAGCCTACCCGCAATTACTTCAGTTACTCCATGATCATGGCGCTTGCAACAGTGCCGAAATATCGGAAACTCGCTAAAAACAAGGTACATGGTAACAATCCCGTAAATAACTTGTATTACTATAATTTACGGCCGAAATATCGGTCTACCCTCCGACGAAATCTTCTATTGCGTTTGATAGACAGACAGTAACTTTATAAATGTGACGAAGATTGGAACTAACAGCGCCGACTTTGTGAACGTCATATTTTGTGTCTTTTGCGGTCATTTACGTAGGCATTGACGCCCGTCCCGAATTGTCGTCACTCACTTTCATAAAGATCCTTGCCCTTTGTAGGGCAATATAGGCTGATGCGGTATGTCATTGAAGAGTACCCTTAGCACGAACCAATTTCGAATTCGAATAGTTTGCGAGTGCGAAATGTCATTGTCAAATATGTGCTGATTTTTAGTCCTCCATGCATCCGTTATGGCGCTGCTGTTCAGGTTTCTATATAAAATTTTACAATGACATTTCGCACTCGCAAACTATTCGAATTGGATATTGATTCGTGCTAAGGGTACTGAAACCTGCTTATAGTCACGCTCACTGCTGACTTCACAACCACCATAAAGTTTTGATCACAGTATGATCATCATCAGCCTAATTATGTCCCCACTGCTGGGGCACTGACCTTCCCTATGGATAGAATAGGGAGATAGGGCTATGACCCACCACGCGGGCCCAGTGCTGATTGGCGGGTTCTAACGACTGCAGATGCAGCCGGGACCAACGACTTAACGTGCCTTCCGAAGCACAGAGGAGCTCAAGACAGAAGATTTTTGGTCACCCATCCAATGACCGACCACTGCGAAAGTTGCTTAAGTTCAACGATCGCAGCCGAACGCGCAATCCACCTACGCCATCAAGCTCCTCATCACAGTATTCTTTGATGTCTTTTACAGGTTCTTTTACAAGCACTTTTGTAAGTATAATATGTTTTTGTTACAGACACGGCGCAACAGAGTTGCAGCTTCGTGCCGCAGTTCCCAATTTGGCGGCGCTAGTCGGTGACCCCAATAGTGCCGTCAGAGACGCGGCTATGCAACTGTTGGTCGATGTTTATAGACACGTTGGTAAGTCGATAAATATAATAACACCATGATTACCATCATTCATCATACTAGAGTTGATACTGTCCTACTAATATTTGGCTATATAATACCTAGGCGAACGCAGATGAGATCCTTGCGAAAACATCAACTGTTTGCAACATCTTTATGTCGTATCAATGCAGACAAGCGATCCCCTCTGCAGCGGGTCATGAATTTATACAATATCGCTATATATTATATAAAGATCTTTGCTGTAAATAAATATCAATATAAAAGGCTTATAAGCGAAAAATTGTATTGTTAAGTTTATGTATTTTTTTTATGTAAGAACTTTTCTCACTTAGTAATCTCTCTCACAAATATTGAAAATCGGCATGGGCCGACTATAGTATTTGCGGACTAATCGGTTTTCGAATTGCCGACTAGTCGGCCGACTATTCTGCAATGCCGATCATTCTAATACCTATCTTAGGAAGGTGTTCGGAATATTTCGTCACTATTCGGCTTACTCACGCACCACACGAGTCTCCCAAATCTAGCCGAAATAATCACGTTCCAACATCACAATTTGCCTCTAAGGCAACCTATGGACTTCTTTAAGATTCGCTAGCACTTAGATTTTACTCCATTACTACATATACACTTACTTCCCATTGCTATTTTGTTATGTGCGGTATTAATTGTGTTAAGTTATCTGAATTACTGACAGATTCATAAGTTCCTAATTATTTTTGCGTTACCTTATTTTTTTTTATATTTTAAGACTGTAGGTAACTTTAAATACATACTCTAGGTACTGTTTAAATATACAAAACAAGCCTAAGTTTTGAGTTTTATTTCATTGCTATGTGCCGATTATAATCGGCGTGTTTTGCCGAATAGTCGCCGACTAATCGCTGACTATAAACGATGCCGAATAGTCGTCTTTCCCGACTAGTCGGCAGCTAGTCGACCCATCTCTAATTGAAAGTAACTTGTGGTTAACGGTGTTGGTTTTGCAATTATAAAAACTTGGTTTTATTATATTTTATTTAAGATTTATTGTAAAACTGTGTTGACCTTAATAAAAAATAAATATCATCGTCGGCCTGTTAATGTCCCCACAGCTAGGGCGTAGGCCTTCCCTGTGGATAGGAATAGTAATATTTATTTGCATAAAACATGTACATGCGTGTTTTACCGACATATCGATAAGCATACTTTCAATCTCCTCGTGTCTTAATTAATTAAATATAATTTTATATTTCTCCATACAATCTTAATATATATAAATCTCGTGTCACAATGTTTGTCCTCAATGGACTCCTAAACCACTTAACCGATTATAATAAAATTCGCACACCATGTGCAGTTTGATCCAACTTGAGAGATAGGATAGTTTAAATCTCAAATTATAGTCGCAATTTTAATTTATTGAAAATTATTACCTTTGGGCGGTACGAAGTTCGCCGAGTCAGCTAGTAATATATATAAATTTGTATTTAAGTATCAATATTTAAGTATCAATATAACTTCAAGAAAAACAACACAAAAAATGGTTGCCTGTAAAGTCGGTTTTACGGGCGAAGATTTTACGTGACAACGTCTTTTTCTCGGTAGAATATTTATTGATATGAATATAATTAAATTACACAATAGGAACAAGGAATTGAATGAAAATAAGAATTGCACAAATTTTAACTATAGAAATATATTTTGTTTACTAAAACATTGTACATGTAAACTTAAACTTAACACGAGAGACTCATCGTAACGTTACCGAGCGTTACACTTTTTCATAAGTGACTCCCAGCCGCAACCTAATTTAAGACGTTGTCACGTCAATAATAAAACTTTCACCATGTCAATAACACAACTTTGTCAACAATTGATGTAGCGGATGTCAAAAAATTACATGTCAAAATTTTAAATGTCAATAATTAAATGTCATGCACTATCCCAGACATTGGCAGAATCGTCACGTTATGAGACGCAGCCATAATCACCAAAAAATTGAATTGAATTGTCATGCACTTTACTTAAAAATGAAAACACGTTACATTTAAAATCGTCACTGTGCACCGAGAAGTGTTAAATTAAATTTATTTCATCATCATCAGCCTATTAATGTCCCCAATGCTGGGGCACAGACCTTCCCTATGGATGGAATAGGGAGATTGGGCCATGACCCACCACGCGGGCCCAGTGCGGATTGGTGGGTGCTAACGACTGCAGATGCAGCCGGGACCAACGGCATAACGTGCCTTCCGAAGCGTGGAGGGGTTAGAGATAGTAAATGTTTGGTCACCCATCCAATGACCGACCACTACGAAAGTTGCCTTACTTCAACGATCGCAGCCGAACGCGCTAACCACTTGCGGCATCGAGCTTCTCAAAAATTAAAAGTTATTGAATGACACTTTTTAATTATGAGCTGTCTCTTTACAATGAAATTGGAATAAGACAGTGTGTGATTTTTCCTCTGAGTACAGCCATTTTGTGTAAGAAGGACATTTCTATTTTTCAAGGTGAGCGACTAAGATCGGACTTGAAGAAAAAAGAGTTGATACCGGCTCAGAAGTTAACACTATTGGATCAAAAGTTTGACGAGGCTCGTGAAGCTGGCTTGTTGCTACCCACAGGTAAGTTAGGATGGAAATTGTGATTTATTTATCTTTCCAGAAGCCTAAAATAGGTTTAAAGTAGTGACGATTGTATAAAAAAAAAAATTAGTGTGTCCGGACCACAGATATGAAGTGAAACTTCTTTTCTTAAATAGCCTAACATTAGGCGGTGCGTAAGGCATAGGGGAATGGAGCAGTGCACGCATCGATCGCAGGCGATTTTAAAAAAATCTGTGAATGCAGTTTTAATAACAGTCGTGTGACGTCACACACTAGTAAGACGCCATATTGTCCAGAGAAACGATTTCGCGGCAACTTGAAAATGGAGTTTTTGATTTGGTTATTTTTACTGAAATACACAACAGAATGATGAATATCCACTTTTGACGGACTCCATAAACAGTAAATAACCTGAGATCGTTTTCTAAAACTTGTCCAAATACCCTATTGTAGGAAAGCGAGAGGAAAGATGTTACACATCAATAAAGACTAGAAATATATGTTTTTAGCAACGCAAGGTGCAGACGAACCGGATTTCATATCGCGCAGCGCTAAACGCACAATGACGATACCTACTTCGGCGAGATCCAGAGACGGAGACAGTTCTGGGGCTTCTACACCAGGTCAGTTACATAGTAGCATTTTTATAAATACCTTGTCATTATATAAATAAAACGGTTTTTACGGGTTATATGCACTGAATTTATGTATTTATTGAAGTTTCGCACCCTTTTCAGGTTAGCATCATCGGAAAAATGACTTTTATTTACTTTGTCGATACATTATACAACAGATAAAATCCCAACCCCGAACACACACTGCAAGACCATCAGATACTGTTAGTTCTTCTTGTTTGCATGATTTAACATAAGAATGAGATAGAAAGCCTCTCTGAGTTTGTTTCGCCGGTTCTTCTCAGAAAGATCCCTCTAATTTTGGAACCGGTGGTAGTTTACGGTAGTTAGGGTCAAATAAATAAACTCAAAATTACAAGAAAGAATTAATTAAATTAGCTAATAAATTTAAGCATACACAATAAAGTTTTAAAAATCTTCGAGTGAAATATCCGAACGCTCAATAAAAGCCTTTCGAAGGTAGCTCGACAAAGTAAATAAAAATCATTATTCCGATGATGAATTCCTGAAAAGGGTGCGAAACTTTAATAAATAAATAAATTCAGTGCATATAACGGGGCTGTATTTTGAGTCTGCCAATTCACAGTCGCTTTGCTAGACTTAATTAAAAAAAAAGATACTTTTACTTGCACAGACAGTCACAAATCTCTCGTAAACTGACAAGTGTCTTATTAGATTGTGAATCTTATATCAAGTGGAATAAACCCTAAACTCTGTTGATAAAAATCTGTACATTTCTAAACAAAAAATCATTCGAAAAACATATTTTATTAATTTCATAAATTGTGTTTCGAGATATACTAAAAAAGAGTATTAAAATAAGAATTGTTTCTAGAATATTCATAATGCTAAATATTTCGTTAACATAACTTAAATAATGTCTTAATTTTAACACGCATAAAGTACACATTTCTTCGTACTAATTCTTGTTTTTTCTCTCCTTCCATCATGCCTGGCATCTTCCTCAAACGGATTCATCGTAACGAAAATTCATCACCTGGGACTAATACATCATCGGGGATCATCAAATAACCCATCACCAACGAATTGATCACAAAATCTAAACTGAACTCTAAAACTTTTATAACATTTAAATCATATTTATAAAAATAAATAATATAAATTGTTCTATATTTGATTTATATGTATTATCTTAATAACAATTAACTACTACACCCACAATTCACTGGACACATGTTATTAAACACAAATTTGATAAATACAATAATACATCTCATCAAAACATATAATTTCATCAAAAATATAATTTTAACACAACCTATCTCATCATATACTCAAAACATGAAATACAAAATCATAATACTTATATCTTAATTTCAATATGATCTATCATAATAATATCTCATCAAAACACAACATATTTGGTCATCATATATACATAACCACATCCTATCTCATCCAATACACATAATATCACTACAACCTATTTCAAATACACAACATTTCGACGCGTCTCTCAAAAACACAACCTATTCCATCAAATACATAATTAAATTATGTTTAATCGGTGAGATGTTACAATACATCATACAACATAAAATCTCGACCTTAATTTAAACACAACCTATCTTGCCAAATACACACAACAACCCGTTAAATACACAATACATCTCTTAAAAACACAACCAATCTCGTCAAATACACAAACGTACACAAAATTCTATTCCCCCAAATACTTAAACTTAAACAAAATAGCGTGCGAAGCTCCTAAACGTACAGTCCCAGGGCTTTACAGTCTACCATCAGCCAACAGGAAACCTCCTCCACCTGCAAAATTGACGAGCGCCGGAAGTGGTAAGTAATCATAAGAGAAAACACAGCAGCATCAAAAAATAAAAATAAAGTTTATACATATTTTATAAACACCCTTTATTTTAATGATAATTGTACGCAGTCTTTAGTTTTTCCCCTTTTTCTTCAGAAAATACTCTCACTTGATACACCATATCATGGATATGTACGAAACATTATTAGTCCGCCATATTGGATTAAGAATGATGTCACTTAGCTTACCAAGTAATCATGGGAGTGCACAAAAAATGACGAATGAATGAGTTTTTTTTTGTTAATGTTATCGGCAATGAAGATTTTCTTCGAATAAATAAATAAATATCCTGTAGTATCATCATAATCATCATAAGCCTATTAATGTCCCCACCGCTGGGGCACAGGCCTTCCCCATGGACGGAACAGTGCGGATTGGCGAGTGCTAACGACTGCAGATGCAGCCGGGACTAACGGCTTAACGTGCCTTCCGAAGCACAGAGGAACTCGAAATAGAAGATTTTTGGTCACCCATCCAATGACCGACCTATGTGTAAATTTCTTAATTCCCACGATCGCAGCCGAACGCGCTAACCACCCGCGCCATCGAGCTCCTTAGTTGGCTTTACTTTCGATTTTTTTGTGCTTTTTCTACCAAATAAATACCTTATTTTATGACAGTGTCGAGTGGTATAGGCGGCCTCGGTAGCGGCGAAGCCGGCGCCGTTTCTTCGGAAGCTTTCGAAGCGGCATTCGCCAGCGTGGCCCCAGCCGCTGTATACGGGGCTCGAGGGCTCGACGATCTGATCCGACACGCGGCCGCTTTACTGGGGGACCGAGCCGCCGATTGGGAGAAGAGAGTCGATGCGGTGAGTCTGTCTCTTTCTAGCTTCTTTCTGATCACAATGTCTCTGTAGGAAGGCCAAAGGGGAAGATCTTCCTCCGAGCTGGGTGATGGTAGCCCGACTGATCTTGGTCGGGCATCGTATATATGGAGTGTTAGCATCCGATTTCACTTGCGCGATGTAGGCTTCCATACTATGTGAACGCAGCGCCGGTAGCGCCACCTCTTGAGGAAGCGAGTGACTATTTCCTCCATGTTGATTATGTGTGGGGCATGTAGATGTCGCCGCCACATCTCTTTCTAGCTACAAATAGCTGTCAAAAGATAAGGATGAAAAATTGCGGCGCTCAAGATAGGAGGCTGTCTTTAGACGGAGTAACGACAACATTTCGGATTCGGCTAACGAAAGAAAAGCATAGTTTTCGGTTACCAAAGCGGCGGAATTCTCTTGTATTCTAAGCTCGACATTTCTGATCCTTATAGTCGTACAGGGCATCGCTACTTTTTCTTAACTATTGTCGGGCATTCTATCAAGTGATATTATGATACAGTATTATATTGAGTTAGCCTACTCGTTATAAATGGATGGTGGTAATATATGGTAGTCTGGCGTTGGTAATGATGAAATAGTATAGGGCACCGGATGGCAATTTCTAGAGTCGATACGGTAAGTATATATCTTTGTAGCCTTCTAGGATTGACAAGTCTTGCTCCACCCGATGGTCCTTCGAGTCATCATATTAATCGGGCGCTTTAAACTTGTTGATCATTATGACAGATATATGATGAGTCAATCTACACACTATTTATTGATGATATAACGTTATAAGCGGTATTCGTCAGCGTGGCCCCAGCCGCTGTATACAGGGCTCGGCGATCTGTGCCGACCATAGAGGTATAAGAATAGAGTGGTCTCGTAGAAAAAGAAAGAAGGTGAGAGACCGCTAGCTATCTCTCTCTCTCTTGTGCCGCATGGCATCCAATGGCAGCACATCGAAATAGTAAGATGCTTACGGTTGCCAATGCGCATGCGCGATTATGCGCAGAGAGAAAGCTAGCGGTATCTGATGGTCTCTCTTTCTATGAGGAACACTTCTAGCACAAGGTCTGTGCCCAGCAGTGGGGACATTAATAGGATTATGATGATGGTGATCTGTAATTTATTGTCTTCTCTTTGTCAACAGCTCAAGAAGATTCGATCGCTTCTCACGGCCAATGCACACGTACAGTTCCCTACAGAATTCGCGGCGCACCTCAAGGAACTCGCAGTCCCATTTCTAGTCGTTATTAAAGACCTGAGAAGTCAGGTGAGTTGTAATTATCATTAGTAAATATCATTAGCATATTTAGACGCATATTAGACGACCACCGTGGCTGAGTAGTTTGTATGCCGGGTTTCAATGTGTCTCGAGAGGTCTTGGGTTAGATGGGGGCAGATGTTTGCGTGATGAATACGAGCATTTGTAGTCCAGTCATGGATGTTTAATATGTATTTCTATATATATATATATATATATATATATGCTTAAAAATGCGTCAGCATGTGTATTTTAATCGTTACCCTAGTATCCCATAACACAAGCCTACAGTGCTTACTTTGGGGCTAGACTAAATTAGTGTGTTGGGGAAAAAAATATCTGAAACAAATGCTGGGTCTCTATTCTCTATAAATAATGTTAGGCTATATTAGTAAAAAGAAGTGTTGATAGATGGCAATATTGCCAAGAACTTAAGGGGTTTCCCTTCAAATTAAGGGGGGAAATGAGTGAGGAGGGATAATGGGTTTTAAATTAAATACTATTCTCATTCAGCCTTTTTTTTTAATAAATCGGTGTTATAGTTCGCGCCAAACTTCTAGTCCGCGCTGAAGTTGCTCTGCGCAGGTGTACAGCATTAAACACAACCTTCGTCCCTTCAAATACGAATCATTTGTTACTACGACGCGAATTATGCAGTGTTCAGAGCGGACTAGATGATTGGCGCGATCTTTACTAAAACTGCGTTTCCGTTGCAAAAGAAAGAAAAAGCTGATAAGGATTCTCTATTCTGAATCAAAAGAATCAAGTAAACATTAACCTAAATTAAAGCCGTGAAAAACTGAAGAAACTTTCAGTCCATTCTGATCCCTGTTGCTCTGTATTATGGTACATTTTACTATTGACACAGGTGGTCCGCGAAGCGTGCATAACTATAGCTCACATGGCTAAAGTTCTCAAGACGAAGCTAGAACAGTTCAGCTTGTACATACTGCAGGAGCTTATCAACCTTATACAGAACGCAGCAAAGGTGAGATTAGAGTAACCATTTTTTTTATAGCGAGGTAGGCAAATGACTACCCCACCTGATGTTAAGTGGTGATAAAGTCCAAACGCGAAGATAGCTGGTACAGCAGTTTTAAACTGCGTCACCAACCATTCTCACCTTGCCGGCCTGCAAAAATGCTTCTTCACGTATCTCTTAAAGTACCCCAGATTGTAGGAAGGAGGGAACACGTGCGCGGGTAATGAATTCCACTTAGGAATAGTACGACAAAGAAATGAGTCACCAAATTTCTTTGTTCGTGTAGGAATAGTGGCCACAGTAAGTCGATGGCAACGTTGGCCAGCGCGCGTGGTCCTCTGAAGAAAAGGTGATGGAGGGATAAGGGAGAATAACTCCTCAGAAGTAAAAAATAAATCAGCAATAAAATATTCAGGACTTTCTTTTGATTAGATTTTTGATTTGAGTAAGTAATTTGTATGTATCTATGCCCTTTAATTTGTAGTCATAATAGATTTGAATTTCTTACTTTCATTTCTTATAACAGTAATTTGTTTAGGCATATTTTAACAACTACTTTAAAGTTTTTCAATTGCGATCTATCTACAATAGATAAATGGCAATTTTTTAATGATATATTGATTTTGATAAGAAAATCATACTATGTGATTCATGTATGATAAAATTGCAAAAATATAATTCGATCAGCTATATAGTGTTTTTGAGCTTAAAAAGTTTTGAATTTATTCTAATACACGGAGTACCCCCACTAGAGTCCGCATCACGCAAATTTTGTTTGAAATCAAAATCGCCAAAGTCGGCGGCGTGCAGGGAGATCAGCCGCGTTGTGATTGGACACGTCAAGGTCAGATGATATACTCAGTGCAGCGAAGTGATGAGGGTAAGATCGATTTTAGAAAATATCGATATTTTCTATCGATAAATAAAGGACACCCGGCATTATGTGCCAAAGTTGTATACTTTTTTAATTTTTTTATCTGTGTTTCATAATTGGGTAACGTAGTCTGGCAATATTTGTCATCAGCAGCTAGCTGTCAATGTCAAATACGTAGGTTTGTCAATATAACCTCTATATGTAGCCGGGTCGTCAAGAGAAATAACGGATAAAAAGGCAATCACAGCAGAGAACATTCACAATCACAGTACGCGGGAGCGAATGATTTTTTTGTTTGTATTTTAGGATTGTCAAATTGACATTTGGTTTTTTATTTAGAAAAAGCAAAGGAATCATGGTTTTTACAGTCACTTGAGTAATATTTTCAAGTAAAATTCTGTCCCTTGAAGATTTAGGGTTTCCATATCAAAAAATATTAATCATTATATAACTTCTTTCCACGATTCACTAAAAATAAGGCAAAATTAGTTTTATGTAGCAAATAATTTTGGCTTCATTTTGAAACCAAATTCAACTGTATACAAGTTTAGCATTTTTTCTATGAAAAGTGCCGGATCTCCATTGTACAGAGGCCTAGTACTTTGGTGCGCTAGTGTAGCTATGCGCAAACATACTCTCTCCACTTTCTTCCAGCGTTCTAATTACATGACGCGACTAGTAACTACATACTAAATAAAATATAAGCAACACAAAAAACACGTAAAAAAAATATCTAGATAGACAATAATATGCTGTTTATGACAACTTTTAAAACTTAAGGCGCCTTACTCATCGGCTCGGTACAGGTTCGTTTTGTTTGCGGGAGTGACTGTCAGTGGTAAAGTGACGAGAACATATGTAACTGTTTACAGTTGGAGTCCAATCTTTACGTTTAGTTGCACTTATCCAAAGTTCCTTCATCTTGGCACATTTTGGAAACCTATGAAATAAATAAAACACGTAATGTTACTGTATTTTGATTCTCGCATCAGTCTGTAAGATATCACCTTAAATATCTCTTTAAAGATTTTGCTCGTTGCTGTTCTCGTGAAAGGCACATGCGATAAACAGACTTAATGAATTTAATATTAATACGGTGACGTCCGTGGCTCTTGACTTAGCACACGCAAAATAACCTAAGTATAACCAAATTATTGATTTTGAAGGAACTTGGTAAATACTTATCAAATTTTATGCTAGCTACCACCCGCGACTTCATCCACGTTAACTTTAGTTTTTTGAAAATCCTAAAGAAACCTGACATTTTTCCGTTACAAAAAGTATTCTATACAACGATATTTTATACCCTAGATACGACAACATGTACAAAACCGTGGCCGAAACGTGACCAAAAGGTACATTTGACGATTCACAGAGGTCCGTAAGATGATCGCGTGGTCAAAAACAATGTAATGCATTATTTAAAAAAAAGTCACCTTTAATGCATACGGCATAAGCTCTTAATTAAAACGCATGCATCAAAGATTTATGGCAGTTCAAAATGCAAGTTCCTAAAATTTTACGACTTATTGTTATATGCAAAAGAAAATAGACCTTATTTTTTTAACTTTTCGCGCTCAATTCTGAATGTGCTGTTAGCTATTATAGCAGGTACAGACCGCGAAGAAAAAAGACGGCTATAGGGCGACGTATAACCGACCATGCTTTTGAGTATCACAAATATGTTATATTAAATCAGTTTATAGTAAGTATTACAATAAAATTTGCTTCAAATGCGTTAAATTTATAATAATAATAAAAACGTTTATTTGGCTCAAATTATATAAATAACTTATTGTATTACATAAAGATGACTATGTACCAAATTATAAAAACATTAATTAGATACCTGTCGAAAAAACAACACTTTACGTACTATTAGTATTTTTTTCGCATTTTTACGGAACTCTGCGGCATTTTGACTTTTCATCGGTCCGCGCGTGACTGTAAACCAAGAATTGCTTGAATAAAGTTTAAGCACTTCTTGATTGGGACACATTTTGAGCACTTGTGGTCTATCTAGGGTATTTAATATCGTTAATTCCATGTCTTTATCTACGTCATAAAGTATGCGCACTTAATTTCATACAAATCGGTTTAATCGTGTAATAGTAACAAACATCCATACAAATTTTCGGGTTTAAAATTTTAGTACGATATGATTAAAAACTGTTGGTTGTATACTCATGATATCTGTTATTGTATACGATGAAATAAATAGTTTTTATTTATTTTTTCTTTTTCCGTAGCTGACAAACTTATCGATAAACTTACGGGTACAGACATGAGCTGCGTCAAGTCACTAGCAATACACGTGCCGGTGTGAGAGCGGAATAGCATATATGATGTAGCGCATGCGAGAAAGGGATAGTGTTAAAAGACATCAACGCGTTCACCAAAAAATAAATACAATTAAAAGCAATTTCATATAAGAGTATTTTTGTCTTTTTGTAATGCATTTAAACTTACCGGTGAAAAGTAATACCATCTTTTTGAAGACTGGAAGTTTTACTCCACTTTCCACATAATTTAATTGCACAGTACGGCATTTTTTCTAGTTTTTTAACGCAAAAACGAGAGAAGCACTTCTGCTAACGCTCGGCTTCGGAATGAAACGATGTATAGCGACGTCTGTGGGCGTGTCTCACGCATACGTAATATACTACTTAAGCTTGGCGTAAGCGCTTGCCCTTGTATGCGGACTCTAGTGGGGGTGCTCCATGTTCTAATATGAACAGTAAAATCATTTTAGTAAAGTCGTTTTCCTCCGCCACAGGTCCTATATATATAAGAATGTATTTATAGTTTTGTAGTTGAAACGTCTCATCTCTTCGTTATTCTAATGTGAACCATAAAAACACGATGCTAAAGTCGTTTATCCGCCGTCACAGGTCGTTTCCTCTGCTGGCACAATATGCGTACGGTACATAGTACTGTACGTACATTCTCCGAGGCTGGTGCCTGTGATAGTCACAAACCTTACCACGAATAAGTCTAAGGAGATACGGTCTACATTGAGGTGAGTTGCTTGGATGGAAAAGGGAGATCCTCCACCTGGGGTTTTCAAATGCCCCGCGCTCTTTTTTTTCTTTTGCTTTGGTAATAACAATATTAAAAAAAATGAGCGTGAGGTATTTGAAAACTTTCGGCGCCGGCAGTCAGATATAACAAAATAAAATCGAGAGCGTTAGCGTTTTTCAAAGCATTTCTGTTAGGCGAATGTCCCCCTGGTATACTATCAAAGAGTATTGGCCATAGGGTTACCATTGAGAAATTTCTAAAGTCCTGACATTTCGAAAAAAGTCCGGACTTTTTAGTCAGAAAATGGTACCAGTACCACGGGTATGGTATTTAAATCACTATGTACTTCTATTACTCATATAGAATGTAATTTAAAAAATCTGGACAATTTAATGATCCGGACAAAGTCCGGACTGTAGTCTAAAAGTCCGGACGGATAGTAACCCTAATTGGACACATATTTTTTGTTTTTATTTTTTAAGCATGTAACTGCTAGATGTTTAAATCTAAAGAAAAGTTTTACTAAAAAAAAACACGCGGACTAGGCAACGGACGGGATTCGAACCAGCACACTTCGCAATCCGGGCGAATGCACTGACCAATTATGCTAATGGCTGCGTCGAAATTTTCCTAGCCTTAAGCTGCAAGGCACCGCCATCTCTTCGCATTGTAGGTAACCCACAATGTCAAATGAATACTTTTACAAGTATTAAACATTTGAAAGAAGAAATACCAATTATAGTTGTGTTTTTATTTTTTGGCACCAATGAGTGTTGGAAATATTTCAATAAATATTTCCAACACTCATTGGTGTGAGTGTTGGAAATATTTATTTATTTATTGGCATTCGTATTCGGGCTAACGACCAAATGTTATCGCACCATAAATAATAACAATTTGACATTGTGGGTTACCTACAATGCGAAGAGATGCTGCCTTGGCAGCCTAAGGCTAGAGAAAATTCGACACGGCCGTCAGGGCCGCGGTGCATAATGGTCAATGCATTCGCCCTGATAGCGAAGAGTGCGGGTTCGAGTCCCGTCTGCTGCTTGGTCCGCGTGGATTTTTTTCTTGTAAACTTTTCTTAAGATTTAAACATCTAGCAGTTAAATGCGTAAATAATAAAAAAAACAATAATAATTTGTTAAATGATCTCTTGTCTGCGATATTGAAAATGTTCCATTTTCTCCCTCAGTGAAGTGCTAGTTTTGTTACTGGAGAAATGGTCTCCTCTATCCGTAGAGAAGCAACAGCAAGTAGTCAGAGACGCCATAAGGAGAGCCTGCGTTGACGCTGACAGTACGGCCAGGACTTATGGCAGAAGGTAAGAACTGAGCTATATTTGTAATAATTAAAATATATATTACACTGAACTTAAGCAACTTTTGCAGTGGTCGGTCATTGGATGAGTGACCAGAAATTACTATCTCGAGCTCCTCCGTGCTTCGGCACGTTAAGCCGTTGGTCCCGGCTGCATTTGCAGTCGTTAGCACCCACCAATCCGTACTGGGCCCGCGTGGTGGGTCATGGCCCAATCTCCCTATTCCATCCATAGGGAAGGCCTGTGCCCCAGCAGTGGGGACAGTAATAGGCTGATGATGAATATTATAAAGGCGAATCCTTTGCATTTTTTTAAAGTCATTCCAACAGTTTAGACGTGAAGAAGTAACAAACATACATACTCACAAACTTTCGCCTTTATAATATTAGTATGATTATGGTCGATAAAGTTTAAAACTAATCAGAAATCAATATATCTTTATTAAATTGGATGTATAACACTTTTGAATCGTCCAAACATTTTTTTCCCTACCACTCGTTATTGGACATATTTTTTAGCTGCGGAGAAAAACGAGCGAAAAAACTCCACAACATTAAAAGCATAATGTAACAACATTTACAAATCATTATGTTGTTACAACGTCAATACAATCATGATTTATTTAATACTAGCGGACCCGACAGACGTTGTCCTGTCTACACGTCTTTGTGAATCTAAACCATTCTCAGATCCCCTTAACACACACAAAAAATTTCATCAAAATCGGTCCAGTCGTTTAAGAGAAGTTCAGTGACATACACACTCACAGAAGAATTATATATATAAAGATAGAAAGAAAACCTCTTGGAATGATTGGAACAGTTCAAACCCAAGCATTTTTGTCTGTAATATAATCAGACATTTTGTAAAAAGCTTTTTTAATAAGTGCTTTTTTTATACTGTCTTTGAATTTTTTTATGCTTAACTAATAATATCGAATTTAATTGACGACCTCCGTGGCCGAGTGGTTTGTACGCCGGGTTTCATGGCGTCGCCGTCTCGAGAGATCCCGGGTTCGAATCCCGGTGGGGGCAGATGTTTGTGCGATGAACACGAGCATTTGTACTCCAGTCATGGATGTTTGATATGTATTTCTATATAAATATATTTATATATGTAAAGTATATGTATTCTATCCGTTACCCTAGTATCCCATAACACAAGCCTTACAGTGCTTACTTTGGGGCTAAGCTAATTGGTGTGAGTGTTGGAAATATTTATTATATAATTATTATTAATATTTCTTGTTTCACACAGAGCATACTTCGCTTACAAACGGCAATTTCCCGACGATGCGGAGCAATTGTTCGCCAGGCTGGACATCGCTGCGCAGAAGCAGATCGAAAGGGAAAGACATGTGGGCAGCGTGGACAGTCTCACTCATCTGGGGACGGGTGAGTTTATTTTTTGTTTATTATTCAAAGTTTTTTACTTTTCCGGGTTTTCATGGTTCCGTACCTCAAAAGGAAAAAACGGAACCCTTATAGGATCACTTTTATGTCCGTCCGTCCGTCTGTTAAGAACGTTCTTCTCAGGAACGCGTGGAGGTATCAAACTGAAATCCATATCTAATACTCTACGTCTACTGTCCCTTGGAGCTGTGAATGAATGAAACTTCTAAGCCAAAGCAATCAAAAGATACAGCCATTTAGGCTGCAATTTTTCGAAACTCGCACGGGAATCAAAACCTACAGGGTACTTCCCGAGAACTTAGAATCTTGAAATGTGGTACGAAGTAACGTCTTATAGAACAGATGATGGAAAAATTGCGGAAACCGTAAATTTTTAGTTACATATACATATAATAAAAAATATTTTTGAAAATTCAGGTTTGTACGGTTTGTCCGTCTAGTAAAAAGAGAAAGAAGATGAGAGACCGCTAGCTACCTCTCTCTCTTGTGCCGCATGGCATCCAATGGCATCACATCGAGATAGTAAGATGCTGACGGTTGCCAATGCGCATGCGCGATTAGGGAGAGAAAGCTAGCGGTCTCTCATCCTCTTTCTCTTTCTATTAGAGGGACACTTCCACTTGTAGTAGAGTCTATATCTCCCCCACTCTATTCTTATTCCTCTATGCGTGAATCAGCCTTGAGAAACAAAAAACTAATAGGTAGCTTTACTTAGCATTGATTTTATGTTAATATACTGACCTCTTGCAGTTAACAAGTACGGCGACTTATAAATTTTTTTTTTCTTTTAGAAAGACAATCCATCTCCAGTCCAAGAAGCCCGTCAGCCAGTGTATCAGGTATGTGTTCCTTTAAACAAATATGTAGTTCTTATGCCGAAACTTACCTTGGATATTCGATTTTACCATTTGTAAATGTGACATCAGCCTTTTTTTTTATAGTGAGGTAGTCAAATTACTCTTCCCCACCTGATGCTAAGTGGTGATAAAGTCCAAACGCGAAGATAGTTGCTACAGCAGTTATAAACTGTGTCACCAACTTTCCTCACCTTGCCGGCCTGCAAAAATGCTTCTTCACGTCTCTTTTAAAGGACCCCAGATTGTAGAAAGGTGGGAACACGTGCGCGGGCAAAGAATTCCACTTGCGAATAGTACGACAAAGAAAGGAGTCACCAAATTTCTTTGTTCGAGTAGAAATAGTAGCCACATGTGGCGTGTCTGTCCTTTTCGTTCCTTATAAAGTATGATAAGGACAGACTTGTCAATTTTACAAATAGCAAACACGAATAGCCAAGTTTAGTGCCGACGTTATAGTTTAGTAGTATACAACCCAACAAACAATACAACGAGCATGAATGGATGGTTCATTTGTTTTAAGTTATTTATATTTAACTAATCAGATATAATGGAAGTTTTTTTTTTATCTTTTTTTGTTTAGGAGCTTTAGTCCGATGACATGACAGCTCCATATAATGGATCGCGACTACGTCTGCGTTTAAAAGTTAGCATACAAGCTTTCATTCAATATTTCACCTTCTGAGAGTTTTATTTTCACGCGAAAATGTGGCTTAAGTACCAACTGAATTTAAATCCCCTTTATCTCTACGTCAGAATATATGATAATTGCTTCACTGGTTTAGGCGCGAAAATGACATTATATAAAGAATTTGGTATAGACGGTTATCCACAGTATAAATCAATTGAGTCGCCAAAGTCTTGGTCAAAAGTTATAAAGACTTGTATGTTCAATATAAGTCACATAAAGGTCACTTATATTTCCACTTAGCATTATAGTGTTGCTTTTCCATAGTGATATATAACTGGTGGTTGTATTGTGGTCGTGTTGTAAATTGAGATTCGATAATTAAATTCATAGTTTGAAGTTTATCTACGGTATTGTGTAGTTAAAACAATGTTCAGTACGGATCATTACATTTTATCTGCAGCGATATTAAATACTCTAGATACACCATGTGCGCTCAAAATGTGTCCCAATCAAGAAGTGCTTGAACACCACTCAAGCACTTCTTGGTTCACAGTCACGCGCGGACCGTTAAAAAGAAAAGATTTCTCTTTTTGCCTTTATTTATTGTACCGCATAGGGTCTCTGCTTAGCCCGTTGGTAGACTGGTAGAGAATGCCATGTGGGATTAAGTACGCCATTTGTATAAACCAACAATAAAGAGTAAATAAATGCCGCAGAGCTCCGTGAAAATATACGAAAACAATACTTATAGTACTTAAAGTGCCGTTTCTTCGACAGGTATTTTATCAATATTAGTAATTAAACGGATATAAAGAAAATTTTGTTATATATACTTACTATAAACTGATTTAATAGAAAATATTTATGACATTCAAATGCATGGTCGGTAATATAGCCGTCTCTTTTCCTCGCGGTCCGTACCTGCTATTTTGTTGACAGCGCATTCAGAATTGCTCGTAGAGTCAAAGAAGTAAGGTACATATGCTGCCGCATATAGCAATAAGTTGTAAAATTTTACGAGCTTACATTTCAAACTGTCGTATCTCTTTGACGCATGCGTTTTAATAAAGACCTTAGGGGGCGTCCATAAATTACGTGAGGGGTTGTTTTGAATTTTCTGTCCCTTCCTCCCCCCCTGGTGAGATGTCGTGAGATTTTTTTCAACCCCCTCCCCCATCCCCCAATCAAAGATTTTTCTAAATGTGGGTTTCTTACTTAAATGCGTTGGATTATTATTGTTAAAAGAAAAAAAAATGCTTCGTGCTTTTATTTACGACTAGTTAAGACTATTAATCAATATTTCTGAGAGTTATTTCTTTCGAACGAAATAGTGAATGATCATAATTTTTAAGCATGTACAATCTGGATTAAATGGACCAAAATAGTATATTTTTTTTGTTTCAATCAGAAAATAAAATTGCGTGATATTTGACTCGACCCCTCTCCAACGTAAGATTAGATGAGATTTGACTCGACCCCCTCCCCCCATTAAACATCTCACGTAATTTATGGACGCCCCCTTATACAGTATGCATTAAAGGTAAATTTTAATGTTTAAATAATGTCTTATATTATTTTTGACTACGCGATCATCTTACGGAGCTCCGTGGTATGTACCTTTAGGACAGGTTTCGGCCAGGATTTTGTTCGTGGCGGTGTATCTAGGTATTTAATATCGTTGTTTATCTGTTAAAAAACACCTTCATACTGGATCATTTTTTTCTGTAAACTTAACGCCAAGGAGGGCTACCGTTTTCTGTCTCACCAGATGGCGCCACTGTTGAGTGAGGTCCTAAATTGTAACTTTTAAAGTTTATTAATACGCACATGAAATCAAAGGTTACATTTAGATCGTATTTTAACACAAAAGAACCATATCCTAAACATAATAGGCCATGCCACAGTTCCGTTTTATTCGGAAAAAATGGGAACATAATCATTTTTCTAAGCTCAAATTTTTAATAACTGACATTCATTGCCACATAACTCTTAATTGCCATAATTAAGCCGAATTGTTACCAATTATTCACAACATTATTTTAATAAGAAATAAACCCGCGTAGTCAACCAACAAGCAATAACATTTGACATTTCGGAGACCTCACGCTACACTAGCGCCTCTAGCGGCAGATTCATACGCGATAGCCCTCATTGCAACAGTATCTTTATCATGCAGTATACGAAACGACAGAGATAAACTACTACCAAATTCATGTCACAAGTAGATCAATTACTTTAATTTACAAATTGATATTATTTATCACACACTTCTTTCGCTTCTTTGAAAAAAGTTCCCCGACAAATTACTTCCATATCCCAGTACAAAATTCGAATTTAAAAAACGCTTCTCCATAAAGGAGTCTTTAGTTTTTTTTTTACAATTAAATCATCCCTCAAATCTTTGCCCACAGATAAGCTGCCTAGAAGGCTGAGAACAACTCATTTTTGAATTGCCAAACTATTACTGGCAACTAATTGGCAATTGACTATGGTGCAAGTTAACCTGATTACATCGATTTTTATTTCATACCTATTGGTATAGACATTCCATTATTCCAAATAGACTAATTAATTTTTAATGGTAGTCGTTGCGACTTTTTATATTTTACTATTGCTATCGGAAACAAAAACCAAAATGAAATCTTACTCGAGATCAATATTCCGACATAATAGCAAGTACATGATACGGCCGATAAATATTTTGTCAGTCTTTATTCTATAACTTCGGAGGACCTCGTACTTATGTAAATAATTAAGAGCCCTTTCACATTTTTTGCAAAAATCGTATTTTTTGAGCGCCTCGGTTAACCCCTTAGAAAAGATTTGGACTATTTCCAATAGAAGTAAACAGTAGATTTGTTCTTCCTATTGTTGGTTAATGTAGAATATTTAACTTTTAATTTGCAAATACTGTTTTCCTTTCTTTGTACTGATCGTTCTACCGCAGCTAGTTTACGGAAAAATCTCATTTATTATCAAAAAAAAATCTATTTACCCGTATTTTGATATTGAATTAAATAGAATTACTATCAAAAACTTTTGTAAAACTAATCTACCATTATTGAACTACTAAATTATGTATATATTTTTATAATTAGTTCATTAATAATTACTTTATAAAAGACTCGAAATATCACCCAAAAAATGCAATATTACTAGTGCAAATCTACCTACGCGCCGATCAATACGGCAGCGGCGCAATTTTGTAAAAGGGCTCTTAAATGAGCAAACAAGAATCTCGCCAAGACCAGCCCCATATTTGTCTAACCACCACTCCTCTCTCAATGCATTAGATTTTGACATTTGAATGGTATACATCAACCGGGCCTGTTCTGAAGTATAAATTTTTGTTAAAGTTTTGTCAATTAATTAAGAGATATCGTGATAATGTTAAGTGTGAAGATTAGGGACCGTTTTTCTCATACAGTGTTTATAGTTAAAATTATAAACACAGAACACGTAAATTCAAACGTACATCTTCCCCCTGGAGGTACAAGTCCGAACTGAACCGAAGACTGCAGGCGACACTACTAGTTTCCATGAATCTCTATGAAATTGATTCCGAGCGCGGCGACATGCCGCGGCTGCACAATGCATTTAATGCACGGTCAGCCGCAGGCGCTAGCCGCAGTGTCGCCTGCAGCCCATTGCGGAATAGGGATGATGACTATGTTTTTTTTCTAAGTTTATCAGGTAGATTATCAAAAAGTATTGGACACGTATTTTTTCTTTTTTCACATAATATAAACATTGCAGAGATATATTGATTTGAAAAGTCGCAAGACGTCACGTTTGAGTACACTTATAAGTGAAAATTCACTCAAAAGTGACGTCACGAGCCCCTACTCCCAAACTTTGACGCGCTATAACTTTGTCATTTTTTGGTTGATTGCCCAAAGAAAAAATACGTGTCCATTATTTTTTGATCATCTAACTGACGGACTAAATAGAATTTCGTTTACTTTACCCCGTCATCATGCCTATTGTACCTTTATTAATAAACGAGGAATAAGCTTAGACTAGTTACGCCGTGTTTTGTTCATATCACTCAAATGCCATTTCTCATTCCCTGAACAGAGACAAAACATGGAGTAACTAATCCAAGCTTATTCTTCGTTTATTAATAAGGGGGCTTGTGATTAGAATAATTCATTATAAAGTGTATATCACATTTCTATTTATCTAACTTCGTTATGTGTGATTATAGCGCTGGGGATTCTAAATTTGATTGATTGCATGTGTAAAAAAAACATTCATTTTCCAAATCTTAAATGACAAAATATTTTATGAAACATCAAATGAACTTATGAATAAATGAAATGACAGATGTGTGAGAATGCGTAAAACAACATTG